GCATTCAATACAGTATTCGCGTAATTGAATGGAAAACACAACCACTGAATGTCATTCCCATAGAAATGTACAGTCAGTGCAATGCTATACTCCATACGCGCTGTCATTACTCGCAGTGCGTTTCGCAGAGACTTGTATATTAATACCCATATTATACAGTAGTATTTGTTTTATTATTTATTACATCATGTTTTTGAATTGCAGTTTTATATATCAATAAGTATTTGATTTGTTGGTCTGCATTTATAGCTAATAAATACAAACTTCTGTTTTCCATTCACTTTATGATTTCCCCCGAAAGATCTCTTTAGCGCAGAACATATAAACAATTTTTTTTGATTACTGTAACCATTATTGGGAGAATATGATCTAGTTGTTTATTATTTGAATAAATTATGTAATTTTAAATATTTTAAATATTGCAGTATCTATTTTATATTAATACATAATAACTAATGTTTATAAGTTTAATGAATATGTTTATGGAATTCTATGTTATGCACAATAAGTTAAACAATGTTTACGAATGTAAATGATATCTTAATTCAAGGATTATTATGCATTCCTTCAATTGCTAACTCTTTGAATATTAATTTTATATAATAGTCTGTCTCACAATCGACTCTTACTTATGTATTACACATCTCCTGATATGTTTAAATAAAATATATTTTATTAGTAGTGAATGCAAAGTTTATACTTTTTTTTTATTATCACTACAATATGTCCGACAAATGTTATGTAATTTAAATAGACAATCAAATGATACAACAAAAATAATAATTTCAAAGCTTTTTAAATAACATGAAAGGCAATTTATTTTATTACATTTTAGTTAAGATAAAATTTATTTTATAATAAAAACAGGATGTGTATTAAGACCTTAGCGAGTACAAAAATGACCTGTTAATTAAAATAACAACCAGGTAGCATTATCATAGTCACTAAAGTAACATACACTTATAATTTACCTTGGCATATAAACTTTATAAGTGCAAGAATTGATGAAAATGTTATATTATACACAATATGTTATCATGTGAATTATTTAAAATACTATAATACATATTATTAAAAACAGGTATATTATTAAAATAAATAATTCAAATCGAGTTCATTATAGGAGTTATTGTATCACTTGTTTAAGTTTATCATAAAGCGGTCCAAACCTGGCTTTTAGTAGGATTTGATCAGATTCTCGGGTCAAATGTTTATGTGTACAGCTGAGTATAGGCTGAGCCTATGGGTCATTAGTAGCCATGAACTCGATGTTACAGTGCGGACACCGACTGACAATAACAGACAAAGATGGCGAAAGTGACAAATCATTGACAGCTCTAAACGCTTGTTAGTCAATAATTTGTCACTTTCGCCATCATTATCCGTGTTTGTAAAACATTGTAGCGATGACTAGCTCTTGATTACAGCTTTCGTGAACACACTTTAATGCCAGAGGTTTACGCAAATCGTATTCACGTTCACCCCTTTCGATGCCGTTCTCTACCGCTAGAAGCGATCGGCTATTGAATTGACTATCGGCCGCGTAATAAAGTTAGGCAATATTTGCGCTTGCTAACATATTTAAGTTTTGACACAATTTAATTGAATAATACGTGATACTTTTTAGCATTAGAAATGTTTAATAATGACTGATTTTTATTTTAATGATAATGAGTTTTACTAGTAAACGAGCAAAACATACATATTTTTATAAAGCATTACCATATTTAACATTTCTTTGGGAAGGCGTCAATAGGTATTCATTGGGCTAATTGTAGATATTAATCGAGACCTGTACATTTCCACCTTATATAATATTTATATTATAGTAAATTATAATACGATTAGTGCTCAAAGTTATTATAACGACAATCCTACATATCTGAGTAAATATAACGGATGATACCTGACATATAGGCTTATCTTTCGCTTCTTGCAAGCATTTTTTGCTTACGACTAAATATCAAAATCTTTTGTGTATAGTCTATGAGTTTAAATTAAAAAGGTATTAATATTTAGTTGTAAACAAAAAAGCTTAAAAGATGCGAAAGAAGTCAGGTTTCATCCGATATATTGACACAGATATGTTGGCAATGAATACCTACGGATGCCGTCTCGGAGACTTACATTTACATTATAATTACGTGACCTAGAATATAGCCTATGTAAACTGCATAGTTACAAAATATTTTATTTAGAAAAATAATTGTAGCACCAAACTGTTATGTAAACTGTATTTGATTGTAAAACTATGATCTCATATTATAATCATAATAGATTACATTATCATGTACGTAAATTAAATTATATTTTTTGTGCCACAAACGTATAGAAAAGTATGTGCAAAAACTAATGATAAAAACAAGTCAACAATTTCTATCGCCAGTAGAGATGAACAGAAATATTTATTTTTTAAAATTGTAATTCACTTTCACTATAAAAAAAATATGTTATCCGTTATTTATTTAATTATTTTATCAGAATATCCACTAATTACAAAAATTTGAGTTGGTCACACTGTTTATAATTGTAGTTTTTACATATTATTGTGATATTTGCTTATATTTTGCAAAAATATGAATGGGTGTTCAATGAGACTATGTTGTTAAACTAATTATGACTTGGCAATAGCTATTTTATTTTATTATTGTGGATTAAAATTTATGATACTATTAAACACGATAACTATGCATTTATTAGTGGTAATTAAAACAGGGGATTAATTTAATTGTACATTATATATGAATTTTCATTTAACTAGACTTTCCACTAGTTTTACATATTTCTCGGCATTTTTCTCGCTTTGAATTCTTTGCGACACTTTTGCCAACTTTTGTGCCAATATCTTGTCGTTTAATAGTCTGTCGATTGAATCCAATAATTCATTTTCAGAGCACTCGTAGGGATTGAGTCTAATCCCAAACCCCTTTTCCATAACTCTCTGTGCGTTATCGAACTGATCAAACATTAGCGGCAATAATACCATCGGTTTCCCGAAATACATGGTTTCCGTCACAGTATTATTTCCGGCATGAGTTACGACCAGATCCACGATTGGCAACACTTTTATCTGTGGGACAGACCTCTCGCCCCACATATTGTCCGNGATCCACGATTGGCAACACTTTTATCTGTGGGACAGACCTCTCGCCCCACATATTGTCCGCCAATTCGTACTCATTATGATTGACACCTTTGGAGACAATGAACCGGTGCTTAGATTTGGACAAAATCGCAACCAATCTCTTCATGAGTTCTACATTTCCAGAACCCATTGAACCCAACGATAGGTAAACCAGTTTTCCGGACCTATTCTTAAGACATTCGGGGACTTCAAACGTGTCTCCACTACCGGAGCGCTTATAGTAATCAAAGCCGTGGAAAGTGTCCGGCAATGGTCTGATGTCCGTAAACTCCAGCTCTTTAGGAGTCATATAGCAATTAGCAAAGGGGGATGGGGTGAACATCTGGAACTCCTTCAATGGTGGACAGCCTAATTGAATGAGTCTTTCCCTGTATTTATGCCACACATCCTTAACCCCATCCCAGAGTTGCTGTCTGTATTTCTCTTTCACTTCTGTCTCACTATTTGTCGGCAATCCTTATAAACGACACAATATTTCCAAAACTTATTTTTTAAATATATAATTAATATTATAATAAAATTAATAATTAATACCTAAGAAAGAGGGCGGAAGTCGTTTATCGAGGTAACCAAAGTCCAGCGATAAGGGGCTATCGCTCCAACTCAATACCCAGGGTATGCCTGATGTCACGATAGAGGGAAGTGTCAACAAATGGTCGCTAATTATGACATCAGGCCTTAGGTCCGCGATAATAGTCTTGAGATGGGGTTCGGTATCTATTTCTGCCGTAAATAATATACTCATGATTTCTCTGACGGAAACGATAGCCTTTTCCATCGGAGTCTTATTGTCAAGAATTCCCAACTGATGGCAAAACTGTACGTTACTGTCGGCCGAGTCTTTCTGATTCCTGTCCGCAGGCTTTCCGATAAGTTTCACGTCATATCCCATGGACTCGAGTCGTGACTTCCAATCGCTGGTCACCGCAAACACCACCCGATGTCCGGCCGATTGTAGCATTTCGGCCGCACCTATACTCGACATCATTTCGCCCACAAAATTAGCCGGTGCCATTAGCACCGTTAGCTTTTTGCCAGTCATTGTCATTACTATTAATTTTGAGTTTTAATTAGTTTTCTGGTTTAAGGCTCACGAGTCAGTTGCTTATAGTTTGCTAACATTTTTACATTCAATTTATAGTTTTATAGAAAACATATGGCTTTAACTAAGTGCTGATAAATCAGTGATAATTATATCAATTAAAATGTTTTATTATTAATATATAAGATGTGATAGGAGGCTTGTCATTGGCATTAAGGTATAATCAGTACATTTTGAGACCAGATTGTAAAGTACGAGTTGTACTGTGAGCTTGAACATTTAAGTGTTTAGTTCATTGATTATGACATATTGTACCATCAAGGTTAATTGGGTTCAATTTGGGAATAAATAAATTGCTATTTACTACATTAATTGTACAAATATTACATAACAAATATTAGTAATTATTTTATATACTGTAAAATTAATTTCTATATAATCATTATAAAATAGAGGTATGTTGAAAGTTTAACAAAATAATATAAAGTTAATTTGCCAAGTTAATATCGTCTTATATAATAATTAAACTATAGATTTCTTTCTAGACATAATCACTATTTTCATGAATAGTATCGGAATAACACTTAATATCTATGAAAAGAGATTATATATTAATATTATAGTCCATTAAAATACATGAAATGATAGCAAACCTCATATCCTTTGAATCTTGTGATGAGAAATAGTTTCCAACAGTAAAACCCAATCCCTTTCCCACCAAACTCTTCAATGAATGCCATTAACTATGAGATATTTTATTTAGCAGTTAAAGTGATTAATAATAAATATTTAAATCTAATTTATAAAATATAATTGTAAAACAATTAGAGTTTGTGTCATATATATGGCATACCTTTAGTTCTGTAGTCAACGATACATAGGATTTGTTTCGTAGTGAATAGGAGTGAAAATATTTATAAAGAGTTTTGGTATAATTATTTAGTATGGCTGAATAGTGTATAATAAACACCAGGGTTAGTAGGAATTCGACACATGCAATGAAGGCAATGATATTAACTATGAAGCCACTTTCACAGTAAAATATCATGTAAAGTATAATCGATATGAATATAGTTATGAGCAACCAATAAATAGCCAAAAAGTCTCTGCGAAACGCACTGCGAGTAATGACAGCGCGTAT